TTCAGGCCTCATCCACTGTAAGCCACTTGATTCTCACTCATGTAAAATCAATTAAATAACTAAATTCTGTGTATTATGTTCGTAATCAGCGTGAGAAAATCTTCAAAAGCCACTTCCCAGGAAAAACTGATGGATTACATACCACATTTCAGACATATTTTGAGATAACTGCGGGCACATTCAGAAGCTTTTTCACTTTTTCGCTCCCCAATCATTCTCAATACAGATGCTTCCACACACGTTTAAGATGTTCACTTGTTTGTGACCAGTTTTCCCCACACCGAAAGTGTGCCGAGTGAACTGATGTTATTCCCGTCACTGATGTGGCCTTGGCCGACAGAAAAGAAAAGCACTATCTGATGTATCAAACAGCAGCCCCATAAAAAGACAAAAGCGAGATATGATGAAAAACTGCTGTGTGTCACAGACTCTGAAAGCTTTTCAAGCTCAGGTCAAAGTTATAAACCTTCGAGAGGATAACAATCGCCAATTCAGTTTCCATTGCCTTCCTGGAAAAATACCACATTTATTCAGAAAGCACTGAACAGAGGACGATATCTAAAACAATACTCACACGACAAGTCTTCTAAGTCCATCCGACTCATTATGAGTCCAGAACAAAGGGCAAACGGCATGCGCTTTGTCTAAAACGAGGCTAACAGCTTGACATGTCCTTGTAAATCATCTCATTACAGGCTTTCTCCACACACCTCCATCTACCTCCAGTGACTTTCTCAACTCTTCAGTCAGTGCTTGACGTCAGAGTTAAGACTCGGGCTTAAGGCCTAAATTCTCCCCACATTTAAAGGTTAGATTCATTATTAGCATCCCACGAGGGACATGAAAGCTTCAAATATGCAAAAAGGCCAACGCGAATGAGCAGAGGTCCCACAAGCACATTAAGAGAGGGGAAAATAAGCAAAACAACCTCATCGCTAAGTTGCATTAAAAATGAAAGAGCTGCAAAGCAAACGGAGAGAGCTTCACAAGGCATTGCTAGCCTGTGTGTTCGAGTGCTAATTGCCATGTTCGATTTCCCGCTCCGCTCAGACTCTCAGACTTTGATTAAGCGAGAGCTCACCAATCACAAAGGCCATTATCACACTTGACATTTGAGTTGTGTAAATGAAGCATTTTGAGAATTTCCCCTAAAAAACCGCCAAAGTCTGTTCTCCAGGGCTGATGAGGGAGCACTTAACTCAGCAAGTCACTCCAAAATGCAATCAGGGGAAACAGACATTCCTCAGCCCTTCAGAGAACGCCTCCTGTGATCAGCCGCAATGGGCTCTCGGGTCACCCGGATTTAGTGATAATAGCCAGAGTGATGGTTTTAAGACCTGTCAGAGTCTGAGAAAAACAGCCCGTTCTGCAATTCAGAAAGAAACTTTCCATCCTATTCAAACCTGACAGCACACCGACTTGGAGACGTTGACGCACGCGCTCGGAAATATCAATAGACGCCATAATGTCAAGGTGAAAGTTCAGGGAATGCGACTGAGGAGGTTATTGGGAGAGCTTTTAAAGCAGTTTATGGTCCATCAAATTGGTAAAGGGAAATGAGCTCTGGCACCGGCAAAGGTGAGCGCGGAGCTGCACGCTCTGCTGGGAGTCTGAACCTCATTACTGCAGGGCTCCCTGCCAGTCTGCTGTTTTTCACATTGATGAATAATTAAGTGCTGGGCTTCCTTCTCTCAACAAGAGAAAAGGTACATAAGTGGAGAATGTAAACATCTGAATGTACAGTGAGTCATAGATGACGGATGGACAGAAAGAGTGAGGACGTTAGAGAGACATCGCAAAGAAAATGAAAGGATGTAGATGCATGAATACGAGAATGAGTTCAAATGCTTGGAATAACATACTACTTTTTGACACGGGAAACCATTATATATATTTTTGCATTATGATATAACAGATTAGCATGGAATTTTGCATGAACAAAAAAGTTAGGTTTTAAATAATAAAAAGTATTTGTGGTTGTCAAAAAGATCACCAAGGTTGTTTTTATTCAATCAAAACACAGTAATATAGGGAAGCATATTTACAATATAACTGTTTTCTATTGTAATATGTTTTAAAATGTAATTTATTCCTGTGATCAAAGCTGAATTTTCAGCATCATTACTCCAGTCTTCAGTGTCACATGATCCTTCAGAAATCATTCTAATATTCTGATTTGCTGCTTAAGAAACATTATTATTATTATAAATGTTGAAAACAGTGGAAACCATGATACATTTTTTCCCCCAAGATTCTTTGCAGAAATCGAAAAAATGTATTTGAAATATTTTTGAAACATTGTAAAATGTTTACTGTTGCATTTGATCAATCTAATGTGTCCTTGCGTAATACGTTTTTTTTTTAAATAAGGTGTAAACAGTATGTATGTGTGTATATTACAATATATTGAATAATACATTAGAAATTGCTGCTTTTCATATTTTGAAAAATGTGACAATATTTCTACTTCTATATTTTGAAGTATGTAATTTTATGCTTCATACACTTCAAAATATATAGATGTAATATGGTACTGCATGTATAAATGTATTTATATTACATAGGAACTTGTATATGCAATATATGTACACAATTATGAGGAAAATATATATTGTAATATACATCCATATTTCTGTATGTGTGTGTAAAATCTTATGTAACCTTGACTTACCATGACTTTAACAAGATATCCAATTGCCCAAAAATTCTAAATTATTTAATAATTGTTTTTAGTAAATGCTTTTTCTTATATACCATCACACATTTTTTCATTTTTCATCACACAGCTATGCAAAACGTTTCTGAATATGTTTTCAGCATTATGCAAACCCGTGCATTAACTCATGAAAGAGAAATTAATTCATTGGGTGCATGTAAAAGTTACAGTGTATAAATATATATATATAAATATAAACTTCATAAAGTATATACAGTACACTCTCAGAAAAAAAGGTACAAAAGCTGTCACTGGGGCGGTACCTTTTCAAAAGGTACACTTTTGTACCTTCTAAACAGCATGCATTTCTTGTTTCCTAAGAGTCAACCATTGCAAAATCTCCATCTTTAAACAATAAAATGACATCCAAAGAACACAGATAGGAAATTGTGCAAGTTGTTGGACCGACAAAACCGCTTACTGTTAAATAACGGCAAAGTACCTCAGAATTAAAAGGTGCTACATAATTCAAATTGTACAAATGAAAACCGAAGATCGATAATTTGGACGTTATAACTCATCAGAGCCCTGCGGGTGGCTGGTTTGTCTTTGATTGTACATTACAACCTCTTAAAAGGAAACATTTTCGACCACTACCAGCATGAACTTGCACAGTTTCACAATGCTCTGTACATCCGTAAGATGGTGCATTTCCTCCTATTTTCATTACAATATTTTGGCAAAAGTTTTTAGGCAAAAAGCTCCATTGTCAACAGTGTAGAAATGTACGAAGCACAGCTCACACAGAAGTCATTTTCAAACCAAGCAGATGGTTGGTCAATGTGGCAAATTTGCTCAACCAACTTGAATCCAATGTGAAATCTGCATGATAAATCTATCACCTTTATGTGAAATTCTCAATTGTGTGGATTCGTATTGAAATGACTAGTTTTCGCCTGCAAAAATTCACTGCAAAATTCACTATTTTGAATATAAATGGCATTTTGTTTCACAGAAGCTGACACGGTTTGAAATAACATGAGGGTGAATAAATAGTAAATTGTCATTATTGGATGAACTATGCCTGAACTAGGACAACTTAAGGTAATTTCTTTTCAAACATTTCAGTCTTGCAGTAACCGATGGTCATCTTCAGTAAGGCTAAAATATTTTAAGACAGTATCTGGGAGAACTGGTTGCTGTCAGCAGAGGTTTTGTTTGGAGTGGCCTGACACATTCTCAGTCAGCAGGCATCATGTAGTTTTAGCGCTCTCAGAAAAACCCTGCGCTGTTTATGCCAGTGAATCATGGCAGAGGAGATCCTCGTAGCGGAAACCATCGTGCAAATGGATGCATTTAGTGATGCATGTGAAGCGCAGAGCTGACCTGACTGAGAACAGTCACCTGTGGGTCTGTGTATTCAGAGAGGTTTACATCAAATTACGCAGACTGGTTGATGCCAAATTACATCAACTAGTCTGCGAGTAGTACATTTCATTCCCCAAAGAACTTCTGAAGTCTTATACTACATAAATGAGATTTCAGTTCACAGCAAGAAAATGGAGATTTTATGGTTTCCTCAAGCCAGATTTCATGGCTAGAAGAAAACAAAAGTTAATTTCCTGTCAAAAATCCTTTGTATAAGGATGATCCATTTAAGAAGTCTAAAAAGCAGTGTTTTTATTAAATCATTTTGAAGAATCTTGGGGCATATTTTTATGGAAGCCTGTTTCCGACACTGAATAAAAAAAACTGACTTTTTTCTCAGAACTGAGATATAAACTCACAGTTGCATGTTATGAAGTCAAAATTGCAAGATATAAACGTGCAATCCTGAGAAATGAAGTCAGAAATGTGAGATATGAACTTGCAATTCTGACTTTCTTCTCAGAATTGCGTGATATAAACTGCAAGTAGATAAATCTGCAAGTTTGTATCTAGCAGTTTTGACTTTTTTCTCAGAATTGTGAGATATAAATCCGCAATTATAAAGTCCAATTCTGAGGGGGAAAAAACGTATATTTTCTTACAGGTGCAAGTTTATATCTCGCAATTCTGACTTAATAACTTGCAAATGAATTGCGAGATACAGAGTTGCAATTATGAACAAAAGTCACAATTTCAAGTTTATATCTTGCAGTTCTTATTTTTTTTAACAATTGCGTCTTTATTTCTCAGACTTCTGAGTTTCTATCATGCAATTCTAATTTTAGAACTCGCAAAATACTGACAAAAAATTTAGAACTGTGAGAAAAAAAAGTCAGAATTGTGAGATAAAAAGTTGCAATTAGCTTTTTTAATTCAATGGCGGAAACAGGCTTCCAAATACTTTTGAAATAGACCTGTTGTTTTTAACATTTTACATTTCAATTCATGTGACAATCCTATATTAGAACTGTTGTTTTGAGAATTCATTAATGGAACAATTAAAAAATAGAAATTAGAGAAATCGCTCAGCAATGCTCCCAGCTCTAACTCTTAATACTGTGGTGTGAATGTATTTTTTCCTTTATAGAATAAAAATAAATCTTTCTTTAGCTGTTCAGCACTTGTGCTGTAGCTTTCAGGAAGTGCTATCCTGACTCTAGAACTAATAAAAGCCTCTCTGGATAAAGCTTGAACGACGTCTTTTTGGTTTGGAAATAGTATTCCCAGGAGAACCAAAAAGGAAACAAACACATTGGGAAAACCCTTACCAACATTCTTTTGCAATGGAAATTCGTATCCTAAAATACAGACCAGATACCTTTGGCAACATTGTTCTTTCCCTCATTGTTCAGCAGCTCTTTGAGCAAACAGTTCAGTGCAGCTCCCTGTACTCGACTCCTGAAGGGCTCTGGTCGGGTCTGAGCTGCAGGCAGGGTGGTGAGAAATGGCACCTCTTCCAGTGATGCTCCTCATTAGAGGCTGGCCTGTGTCAGAAACATGACTCCTGGGACTCTGTGTCGTTCTGTATTGGCAGTTTCTCCTGTTCAGTGTGGTTTCCATTGTGAAGAGCTGAATACCTGGAAGGACAGGACACCATTTCAATCCCACTGTCACAATCTCATATTCATATCTCTACAAGCTTTTAGATGAATGTTCAAGCAATATGAATTATCATATAAACCATACAGTGCTGAAACATTTCGTTGACCAAAACCCTCCAACACTGAGAATATTAAGAGCACTTCTGATGATACATATATTTTTTTTTAGCAATTGCACAATATTTATAGCACCCAATACTGTGAGTGGCAAAAACAGCACAGGTTTAAATATCAAAATTGAGGTCATCTTTATGGCAGCATGTTATGTTAAAAACTGACAAAATGATCTTTTAGTAGATTTAGCTTGTCTTCATTTTCATTTCATTTATTAAAAAAAAGCACTTTCAACCTACACAGCAGATCCAAAGTGCTGTACATAAAACAGTACACATAATACACAACAATACCATACATGCCAAATAACCATGAGAAAACAAATCAGTCTTGATTTTGAACAACCTTGTAAAAATACTAATGACTCATCGTGCACTCGCTCTTTTTGTCCAATCGAACACTTTCTAGAATAAATGACTAGTGATGTAGATTTGTTTAAAAAAAATCATTTTAAAAAATCCATTTAAAAACTCATATTCCGGTAGATAAAACAGTAAAGCGCGGTGCTAGCAATACCGCGGTCAAAGGGTAGATTCCCAGGGAATGTAAGAACTGATAAAATGTATACCGTAAATGTAAGTCACTTCAGATAAAAGTGCCAGGCAGATGCATTAAAATGCATGAACAGTAGAGTAACTGAGATAAAGCATTATGTCCAGGCCCAACTTCCTGCTTTAGCAGGAAACAAAACTGCTCGTCAAGCCATTTCATGTAAAACACACTTTTACAGATATCTACATTCAGCATAGAAATCCTATGGAAATCTCAACCTCTTCTGGATTTCACCATCTTCAAAGAAATCGTAACCTTATGAAATGGTTTGAAACTAGCCAGAAAAAAAACCTGCACATACATTTGAGCATCTAGACAGAACTACAGTACAGCACGTCTCTTGCTTTGTTAAAGTACTGAAGCAGAACACATTGCCCTGCGATTGCTTCTTCTCCTTTGTATCCACACCAGCCATGCACCTCCTTTTCTTCCAGGCCAAAAAAAAATAAATCATTACAATCTCGATTCATAAACAAGCAAACTAAAGGCAATTCCTGCAGAGCAATTGGGCATGAAATTTACCTGAAAAAAAGTGATGATGTTCAATGAACATCAAAAAACAATGATGTTCCGGGATTTAGAAAGGAAACATGCAACAGGTTTTCAATGAAGCAGAACCCAAAATTGCTGCCACATTGCTGCTTTATAAACTGTCGGCCCTGCACAGCATGAGACATCTGTCAAATTAACATGATCTAGTGCAAACATACTATAGTCCCCAATACACTCCAGTAATAAGGTCTTGATCATGCTGGTACATCCAGTCTAGACATTAGCTGGCTGGATTAGAGGCAGAGCTCATTAATTTACATGAACATGAGCTTTGGGTCACACACACACACACGCACGCACACACACACACACACGCACGTGCGCACGCACGCACAAACACACACACACACATACACAGAGGCAGGATCTACATCACTCATTCTGACAACTTCATTCTTAATTCTGTCAGGACCACTATCGTCAAAGATGATTGACAATTAGCATACAGTTTGGATTGGCGGTATGGTTCCGTTCTGGGCAAGGACTCCCTGCGCATCCATGCAGCCTAGCATGGATGAAAGCAGGGAGAGCAGCGATAACCCCCCCAGGGTAAACATAACAGAACCAACATAAATGTATTGCAGATATCGTTAAAGTTCAATAATGTTATGGACACATTTTAGAATTAGTCTGATTCAAAGGAGAATCAGAAGGCTGAATCCTGACTGACAGAGGAGGAGCTGGGGATGGAGGAGGGTAATTAGCTATTGAGCAATGCGAAAACTGCTGATACTACTGCGGGGCCTTATATATGAATACTTAGATAGGTGTCGTATTCCCATAGGTTGATGGGGATCAGCTGAGAGTCAGCTGATGCGAGCTTGACTAACGTGACCTGCCAGAACTAACGCTACGCTAGATTTATGTGTGCCAGACATCAGGGAACTGCAGCGGTAGTCACTAAACAGAGCCTGAAGACTGATGGGAGAGACAGCAGCGCCACAGGGTTTGGTTTAACCCCTAGAAAGTATTTCAGGAAGTAGTGGACATCAGGGAACTGCAGCGCTAGTCACTAAACAGAGCCTGAAGACTGATGGGAGAGACAGCAGCACCACAGGGTTTGGTTTAACCCCTAGAAAGTATTTCAGGAAGTAGTGATGTTTATTTGCCTTCACTGAGATTATACAGAAATACACATTTAAACTGAGGCCTACAGCAGTTGCCTTTACTTTTCTAAACGACTTCCCAGTAGAAGGCTGAAACGATGTTCCGTTCACACCAGTCCTCCGACACGATCTAACGTTTCATTAGGTTGTGTCAAAAATAAACTGGAACGTTTATCTGTCATTTACCTATTAAAATGGTTGTAATTGATAAGCAAATTGTATAACTGCTGCAACTTTACATATACATTTTTATCCTTATTTATACACCATTGTTCAAAAGTTTGAGATCTGTAAGATTTCGGTTTAAGTTTTTGAAAATAGTCTTTTATCCTCACCAAATTTGCATTTATTTGATTAAGAATACTGTAAAAAACAATAATAGTGTGAAATGTTATTACAATTTATAAGACCCGTTTTCTATTTACATACATATTTTAATATATAATTTATTCCTGTGACGCAACGCTGAGTTTTCAGCAATCATTAATTTTATAATCAATGTTGCAACAGCTGTACTGCCTAATATTTTTTTTTTGTGGAAACCATGACACTTTTTCAGGATTCTTTGATAATTATAACATTCAAACCGGTTATTTAAAATATTAAATTTTTGCGACGTTTACATCACTTTTGATCCATCAAAAGCATCCTTGCTGAAAAAAAGTATTACATTTCTTCTTTTGAAACTTTTAGAACAGTACAATAAGTAAATATACATGAAAGTATATAAACACTATATATAACGTTTAATCTCATAAATGCCACCATATATTGCATTGTGGTTTATTAAAACATTTATCTTGCTAGTGTATTTTCTGGTTGTTTTGCTTTATGTGACAAACTAAATATTTACACGTTATATTAACCTATTTTTTTGATACTAGCATTTTAATGATATGCCATTGAAATATCATTTCATAACTGTTAAAATCATTAAAACAAACCACCTGTTTCCCTGTTGTGCCATCTGCACTGCTGCTTTGATGGTCTTGCTCTAATTTATTAAGCAATTAAATCTCCTAATTAATGTATGCATGCTGTTTGCATTATTTATATGACTTTTTAATGAACACAATATTTGGATATTAGCAAGGAGACACAACGTTCCCTAATTCCCACACCATGGGGTTTGCACCTATAGACTTGATCTAACAGTAAACATCTGGAGCAGGATTTCCAATAAGTGCAACAACAATGGGCCTCCTCGGTCCAGATGGTCGAGCATCGGCGCTTCTCCACACTCACTGACGTATGAAATTGGCAGCACCTTACCTTAAATGCCTACAGATTCAGATCTGAGCCGTACCATAAGCTCTGGAGCAACCACAGCAACCAGAGCAAAGAAATGACCAACCAACAGTGACAAAATATGTTCAAGTTCATCACAAATCCAGGATTTTTTGACAGTGATATGTGCACGATCCCATCTCTGTTTCCCGTGAACGCTTCTGATGCTGCTGCTGCAGGCCTGACAGAAAACGGCAGACTCTGAAACGGGTGGAAAAAACTACTGATATCTTCAACCCTTCATTTCCTGAACAAATGGATGGCATTTCAACCGGAGTCCATTTCGATGTGCATTGATTTTCAGTACGGAACTGAAGCTGTCAGAAATGTCATACACGGAAATTTGCACCGCATCCTAGAACAGAAGTTCACAACGGTCATAAACAGAGTAACAACCTAATGATGAATAACCTAATAAAGAAAGCAACGGCTTCATTCTGGGGTTTAATGAATGTAATGAACACAATTATCATGAGCAAAAAAAATAAAAGTAAATAATGAACTTTTCAATCCTTTCAATGGGGTTTAATGATGGCCTGCCAGAAAGAGGACTGACATGTCTCTTTACTGAATAATTTTGTTTGTAGGGATAATTCAATGTTTATGTCTCTGTTTTTGCCTACTTCAGTCAGTCACGGTGTGTCTGGCGCCACACTGAAGGGAGGGTTTTGATTGTTTTGATTAGGTAAATCATAAGTTAAATTTTCAAATGCTTGTTATTAAAACCAGATACACGCACGCACACACACACACACACACAGAGAAAAATTAAATTTGGCATCATCATAAGTTACATTTTCTAATGCTTGTTACTAAAACCGACATTTTCCAAAGCTGAGTGCATGAGTTTGTGCAGGCAGATGTTGGCACAAAAACCAAGAGACGTGAAAGTTTCATTTGACTGCTGATACAAAAGGTCTTCTTAATAAAAATCCACTTTTGGCAGAATCAAAGGAGCACTGACTAAAATTGATGTTTCCAATACATAACAGGCCTGTATCTCCACAATACATCATTATAAGCAGAGAGCTGAAAGACAAACTATTCTCCTGTTTAAAACACATACATCTCATGCAGGTGCTGATAACAGAAGACTCATTTAATTGGAGCCCTAAAGCCTGTTTATCAAGCTCTCTCATCTGATAAAATGACCTTTCTGCGATGCAGTTTGTGACATGCGCACTACCATTTGAGCGGGAGAGACGAGGCAATCCAGGAAAATCTCCCCTCGCTGAACTGTTCATGATTAACCAGTAAAGGCAGGGAAAGATAACTTTCTTTTGTGTCTGATAGCATCTGCAATCCCAGGCCACTTCACAGGAAGAGTGGCTTGGAAATCTATTACCAACTTATCTATTCAGGAGC